AACACGAATAATGAGAAATAAAAAAGGTTTATAATTATTTAACATTTTGTCCGAATTGTTGACAAAAAAAATCAAATTCAGTATGTAAACAAAAGTTAAATTTTCTCAAAACGCGGACTCAAACTTAATCAATTTGCACGTGCAATGCAAATAATAGTATAAATAATAGTACATTGTGCAACGAGGACGCAAAGCGCAAGTTTCTCGTCCGAGCTTGATTTTGCAGTACGAGGCGAAGCCGAGTACTGTAAACAAGCGAGGACGAGAAATGCGTGCGTCCGAGGTACTCACGACATTTTATACAAAACGAGAATGTAATCCGCGGTTACTCGGTGCGTTTTGAGAGGTAAAGCATGGCTTTGCTTCAAGTAGTAGTTTTACGGTCCTAGGACGAGAAAGTAGTCTTTACCGTCCTAGGACCGTAAAACTGCTGTTTGAAGTAAAGGCATACTTTGCGTCTCAAAAACGCGTCGAGAAAGCGGGGATTACTTCCTTTTTTGTATAAAATTTATTATACTCACTCATCAAGATTCTCATTTTTGAAAAACAACACATATTTGTAATTAGCACCATTAGCACTGTAAACAACACGATTACACGATCTGTTGATGGGAATCCGTTCGCACAAAATGTCATCAGAAAACTGTCTGCACAGAAGCTAACTTAGTAGCTTACTGATTTTTTAGTGACTATCACTGATTCTCAGTGAAAACTTTAGTCACTGACAAAATCAGCGAAATTTTCGTTGATTCAAATTTAGAGAGCACTCAAGGTTACACTTTTTCCATTTCTTAAAAATTAGATTTTTTAAAGTCAATTTTTTCTTCCAAATAAAAAAATCAAAGCTATTATGGTATAAACACTTGTCTAGGGATCTAAACTAAAGCTTGGAATAGAAACCTTTGATTAATTTGCTTTCATAAAGAATTTTTTATAAAAAAAGTTGAGGCGGTCCACTCAAGATGACATTACTCTACTTATATCGCTTAAACTTGACAATGTCGATTATCAGATGTATAAAACTAATTATGGTTAGGATCTTGAAGCAAAAATAACAGTGGTTAAGTCGTGAACATAATTTAAACTTCGCTTGGGATGCCTAATCACCCCAATTTTCCGTTCAAGGTTTAAAAATGGTAGTAAAGTTTAATTTTATTTTGACTAAGTCTACCTGAAAATTAAAATATTATTTACAAAACGTAGGGTAATGTCACCTTGAGTGGACCGCCGAAGCTTTTTTTCGAAAAAATTCTTTATGAAAGCAAATTAATCGGAGGTTTCTATTCCAAGCTTTAGTTTAGATCCCTAGATAAAAGTTTATCCCATAATAGCTTTGATTTTTATTTATTTGAAAGAAAAAATTGACTTTTAAAAAAAAGCTAATTTCTAAGCAATGAAAAAAGTGTAATCTTGAGTGGACCACTCATAAAAAATTGCAAAAGTTATTCTAAATTCCTTAATGTATTTAATATTTCTGATATATTAAAACAAAATTTATGCTTATGCAGCTTCATACCATGTATGTGTCGCAATGTTGGCAAGTGAAACCATTTTTAATAATTTTGGCACATATCACATTATCACAAAAAAATTAATAAAGAACACAAATCATAGTTTCAAACTAATTTATTGTCAATTTATATCTAAAAATGGTAAACTGACATTAAAAATGGAAGAAACAGACCGTTATATTTTTAAAAATTTTTCAATTTAAAAACGAGTTTAAACAAAAACAAATATTTATGAAACATAAAAGAAACAAAACTGTGATTCGCACACGCACTTTTTATAAATAACAAACAATCACGACATTCACCCAACGATAAAAACACATGCTCAGAGCGAAACTGGACGTCATGTGACTCGAGACGTACATCAACAAGTACATTTGTGGGTTGGCAGTATATTTATAAACTGAATTATACCAATTGCCACTTTGTGTTCTTTAATTAAATAAGACTCATAATTAATACTATTTAACTGTTCTAATTTATTCAAAATATAAAACTATATTTTTCACAACCTTTACAAAAGCACGTCTCCCTCGTTTTAGAATATCTTACAGAATGTACAAAGTACTACAGAGCTCAAGCTAACACACACATACACATACTCATACGATCCCTACTCTGTGAGCAGAGAGGGGTAGAAGGGGAAACATTAAGCTGTTCCCCACATACTCCCCCCCGAGTGACTAACGATTTTTTTTAAATTAAAAATTAAAAATGTGTATCTTATTATATGTCGTCGATATAAAATATTAAATACGAAAATAAAATGTAAGAAAAATAAAACTCTAGTTTTTTTTACAACTTATTATAATCCTTAATTCTTCGCGCAAGAATAATTATTATGATCTAGTTTAGAAAAATAAAAAATAACTCTCTTTTTTTATTTACATAAGTCTTAAGTGGAGTTATTTTAATACTATTTTCGTCAGTCGTAGGGATATTTTTACTAGTCGAAGGAACAACATTATTCGTCTCGTAATGAATATCATCTTGTGAAGTGATAACAATATTGTTGAGAGGAACACTAGTCGCTGCATTTTTTCTTACATTGTCCGGAATTATCAAATCATCGCGATTGAAATAAGCTGGCTTAATATTTTCTACTGAAACTCGTTTTTTCTCGACATTTACTTCAATCTCAAACACGCGATCCGAAATTCTATCCACGACCTTATGTGGGCCGGAATAAGGACTTTCCAATGATTTTTTACAGGTGCTGATTTCAGAAAAACATGCGAGCAACTATACATATCTTTAAACACGAAAATTTTTCTCTTATGTTTGTGTGTCACGGGTACGGGTTTCACGAGGCACATATGTTTTCGAAACTCTTCTAAGATAAATTGAGGGTTTGCTTTAAATTCATCCGGTAGGATGAATTCACCCGGAATTTTAAGGGTGGTGCCGTAAACATATTCAGCAGGAGAAGCGCCCGAGTCAAGGACAGTCGTCCTTAAACCCAGCAAAACCGTGGATGCAATAAAGGCCTAAAAATACTAGACTCGAACTGTTTACCCTGATTCGTTGTTATCTTCGAAGGTGTGCCAAAACGCGCCAACCAATTATCGACAAAAGCTCTGTAAATAGTTTTCGCCTCAATATCCCTTAAAGGTACAGCTTCTGCCCAACGCGAAAATCTGTCGATCATCGTTAGACAGTATCGGAATGCCTCGCAAATTGGTAATGGACCGATAATAATAATAATTTGACCTTTGACACGGCAAGTAATCTCGACACCATTATTTTACGTCCCTATTTATATTTGTCCACACGTAACTTTTCCGGATCATCTTTCCCGTAATTTTCGCGCTCGGATGTGACTGATCGTGGAATATGTCAAAAACTCGCTTACGATATACCAAGAGAACATAAGGTCTAAAAATTTCTCCAGAAACATCACATATTATTGGGGTGTTATTAGGGCCCCATAACATGCGTTTTAAATTTAAGGATGTTGGATTCTCTTTTATAAGAGAGTCCAATTCTGTGTCATTTTCCTGAGCTTGGGACAATTCAACGAGACTAATGTCAGAAGCCAAACGAATCAAATCCACGCGCGATAAACTATCCGCTACGATATTTTCGACGCCGGGAATATATCTTAAATCTGTCATGAATTGAGACAAGAAAGACAACTGTCTTTGTTGTCGAGGAGAAGCCTTATCTAGTTTTTGCGCAAAAGCGTATATCAAAGGTTTATGGTCTGTTAACAAATGGAACTTTCTACCCTCGATATCACTTCTAAAAAATTTTGCGGCCTCGAAACTCGCGGTCAATTCCCGGTCATATGTACTATATCGCCTTTGAGTGAAGGTAAAACTCCGCGAAAAAAAATGCTAAGGGCTGCCAGGCATTTTCCTGGTACTGTTCGAGGGATGCGCCCATTCCGCGAATCGGGGCATTGCACGACGGGTGTACCAATAATGTTGCATTTGCGAGGCTGTGTCGACATTTCTCAAAAGCTTCATCCGCCACGGGGGTCCATACAACTTCGCGCTTGTCGTTTTTTCGAGAGTCATGAAGATACGAATTTAACGGTTCTTGCATTTGAGCCAAAGTAGAGAAAATCCTTTTTTTTAAAAGTATAGCAGATACATCACGAATAAACGGAATTGGATACCGGTCCGGAATCGTCACGGAATTTAATTTGCAGTATTCCCCACACACCCTCGAAGGTTGACATTTGCCCTTTTTTGTAAACCCTAAAAATATGCCCTGGTCACAGGCAACTTCTCAGGAGCATGGCGATGAGTGCGTTCCGAAATAGGGGGTCCCGTTGTGAGGATGTGATGTACGACATCATTAGTTTCATTTTTTTAGGCGGAATTACACCGGTAATACTTGGAAATTTTTTTAGAATTTTTGTAAAACGACAAATTGCATCCACCACACTAATGTTGGAAAAAAGAGCAGGTTTCATGACACCAACCACTTTGAAATTGGAATGTGTGTCAATCAATCTACGACTACGCAGGTCTACACCGAGATTGTATGCGGAAAGAAAATCAGCCCCAATTATTGTATAAGGTATTGATGCGATACCGAAATTCCATTTGAATGAGAAAAGTCCAAAATTTAACTCCAACCGACGCTCGCCATACGTGTTTATGAGCGAGTTGTTCGCAGCATAAAGCACGGATTTGACGGGTTGTATTTTGTCTTTGTGATTCGCAGGAATTAAAAAGATGTCCGACCCGGAATCTACAAGGAATACGAGTCCGGAATCTCGATCTTTAATAAAGAGGCGTTTCGAACCTGGGGCGGTATTGTGAAAATGTGGTGGATTCTCTAGTTTTCCGATTTGTTTTGTTTTTTATATGCGCATGGTGGCTTGCACTTGACGGCCTTGTTCCCGAACCTGTCATGGTAAAAGCAAAAATTATTGTTTTTACGATTACCAGACTGAGATCTGCGTCTGCTATTTGATCCGTTTCTCAAACGCGATTTACTTCGATTTCTATCCCTTGAGCGATTGCTTGAATAATTATTTCATCCATTTTGATTTCCTAAAGATAAAGCATCCAAACGCGAAACAAGGGAAGTCATTTTATCCAAAATATCCGATGAAAGCTGGTTTGAATTATTTTCAGAGACTGACGCGACTGATTGATTTAAAACGGTACTATTTTCAACAATTCTATCAGCGATGGTAGCTAAACGTGTGAGATCTGCAGTATCAGACACGGCCAGAATTGAACGACAGCCCGGTGGAAGATTTTCCAAAAATATCGATTTCAAAACCTCGTCGCTACACCGACCTCGACTAAGGTGTCGCATTTTGTTCAAAAAGGCAGATGGTTTTCCGTCATTCAAAGATTCGCCCTGCAAAACTCTACGCAACTCGCTCTCCAGTGAACTCGCAAAATTCTCGATAATTATCTCTCTAATACGTGTATAAAGGTTAGGTATTAAATCAACGGAAGTTATCAAATCACCGATAATCTGCAAAACTTCGCAATCCAAAGACGACACAACTGCGCTAGCTCTAGCTCGCTCATTGTAAATACGTGAATTTTTAAAACTAAATTCGGCTTGGGCAAACCATAATTCAGGATCTTCGCGGAAAAAATTTGCAAGTTTCGGCAAATGTAAATGTCCTACGCCCTGTCCTTGACCCGGGGGCATCGCGGAACCGAAAGCACCAGCGAAAGAAGGTTGTCTACGCGCCTCGTGATTTCCGCAATTAATATCCATTTTGTTAAAGTAATTTTTATAAATTATGAAAATATTTATAAAAAAATTCGATGCTGCGAGTAATGTTCTCCTCTCAAAAATTTAAAGACAAAACAAAAAAAAACACGGTAAACATATAAACAACACGAAGAACGCGAAATATTACGCGAATCTGTGAATTAATCTCACGATGAAATTCAAATTGAAAATTATAATTCGTATGACAATAACTGTCAAAAACGTCCAAATAATGTTGTCGACAAAAGTCGGAGTACTCAATACAATACGCATTGCTATCTTTATATATTACGTTTTCTTTTTAAATTTAAAATAAAACTTTTAATTCAAAATAAAACTTTGCATTCAAAATTAAATTTCTAATTCAAAATAAAATTTTTAATTCGTTATTAAAAACCGTTTGATAAAAGAAAAATGAAATCGTGAAACAGAAAATAAATAATGAAATATCGCGTTCAACTTGTCATAAAAAATAACTTGTCAGAGATTTTGACTCACACAAATAAGCATACTTACAACAAAAAAACATACATTATTACAAAGATGAAACATAGAAGAGTTCCATAAGCTGCGAAGTTCCTATTGATGGTGATGTAGCCGTATATAGTAACAGCAAAGTCCATGATACACCTGACGTCTGAAGACAATGAATAACCTCTCGTCACCTGAATTGGTTTCCCCTCCTTACAGATAACTGAAAGCTCCGTGTCGTCGTCGAAACAGATTTTCCTACTGGCGGGCCCGCCTCGGTCGATTAGAATGACATAAAAAAAAATTTTTCGACAAATCAGCGACAGGAGAGAGGGAAAAAATGCGAAATCTATTAGCTTGCTAAAACCGAGAAAAATCATACCTGCTGCATGGGCAGAATGGTATGCCCATGCGCCGTTTTCATAAAGCGTCCAAAACAAATGACCAGCGGCTTCACCACCCCACTGACACGAGCAGTTAAAAAGTAAGCTAAACGTGACTGACGACTACCAGGGGCGTTAGAAGAAAATGAGTGTAGGTACATGAATGTGATTGGTTGTATTAAATGTCTATGATTATGAACAACCTAAATAACCAATCACATTCATGTACCTAGACTCATTTTCTACTAGCGCCCCTGGTGGTCCCAGTCACCTCTTACCACACTTTTTGTATTGAAATTACATTACCCTGTCAGAGGGGTGGGCTTCACTCAGGAAACATGCTATGCTGTTAAAGTCATCATGGAGGTTATGTAGCCCACAGAAACTTCGGAGGTCCGATTACAGTTGAAAAAAAGGTAAATTCTTGTTGAAAATTGTAGTCCAAAATAGTCGGAATATTTGTAAAATATATATTCCAGGTCCTCTTCAAGGTCGGAAGAATTCTTAGACATCAAATTTTGGAGTTGTAGAAAAGCAAATGGCGATTCCTATCTCGTGACATGTGCTCGACTTCAAAAAATCCATGTTTTGAATGAAATTATTTATTTTCGAAGAAAATAATCATCCCGATGATTATGGAATTTTTGTTTTATTTTTTATTATTAAAATCGCACTTGGATGGTCACCACGTTGTGAGATAAAATTTGATTTAGAAAGTTACGTTTTCTACCGACATCACGTCGGGGTCACCAATGTGGGTTGGCGGTATATTTATAAACTGAATTATACCAATTCCCACTTTGTGTTCTTTAATTAAATAAGACTCATAATTAATACTATTCAACTATTCTAATTTATTCAATATATAAAACTATATTTTTCACAACCTTTACAAAGGCACGTCTGCCTCGTTTTAGAATATCTTACAGAATGTACAAAGTACTACAGAGCTCAAGCTAACACACACTTACTCATACGATCCCTACTCTGTGAGCAGAGAGGGGTAGGAGGGGAAACATTAAGCTGTTCCCTACACATTTTCGGCCATATTGGGAAAATTGGCTGCGCACCCTGCGCACATGCGCATCGGTAAGACCGCGAATATTAAAAAATTATAAAGTCAAGTATTTTTCTGCCTTTATTATCAACTTTAGATAAATAAATAAAAATAACGTTCCACAGTAAAATTTTACTTTTTCAAGTAAAATTTTTGTGTAGTAATTTCAAAACATTTAGTAATTTATTATTATTTAAATTAAATTATAAATTACAATCTATAATAAGTATTATATATATATATATATATATATATATATATATATATATATATATATATATATATATATATATATATGAGTCACTCCATTATATTTCGACTAAAGTCTTTGCCGACTAATTTTAAAAAATTATAATATTTTGCAGGAATGATTTTAAAGATATTAGGATCTTTAAACAAAAAGAATTTTTAAATATTTTTTATATTTATTGTAAACTAAGCATCTAAAGTATATAAAGTCGTAAAAACTGTCTATTAGAAAATATTAAAGAAAACACATAATTTACTATGAAAACGTAAAAAAATATTAGAATTTATTATGAATAAATTATTTTATTATTATAAATTGATACAAACAATTATTATTAAGAAATATTAAATAAAAAATTATTTTAAAGTTCACCTGGCAAATAACCTATTTTTGCAAATTTCATTCGCTAAATGTGAGAAAGAGAAATCATTAAATTGAATAAAACCTTATGAAATATAAAGAAACTTTTAATAACTTTTAGTTTTTCTTATCACTTTCTTCCTTTTTTCTTCACAAATGTTAAAAAATAAGCAATTAAAACTGGCACTTTGCTTATTTTCACGATTTTAAAATGTTAATAACTTCTGCCCAGAAAAAAAAATTACGAAAATTGAGCAATAATAATAAGATGCTTATTTTACAATAAATATAAAAAATATTTAAAAAATTCTGTTTGTTCGATGATCCTAATATCTTTAAAATCATTCCTGCAAAATATTATAATTTTTTAAAATTAGTCGGCAACGACTTTAGTCGAAATATAATGGAATGGCTTATATGCATATTATATAAATTAATAAAATATAAATTTTATATTAAATTTTAAATTATTAAATAATTCAATTTAAAATTTCAACTAGTTATCATTAAAGTAATTTTCATAAATTCATAAATTTTATTGATTTAATGTAATATAAGATTATTTGAGGCGCTGATATAAAGTGGTTAAAAAAACATTGGGAGAAAAAGTGGGATAAATGACTTGGTAGCAAAAATGGTTTAAAACAATTAAAATATTTATCAATAAGTTTATTACACGAATGACTTGCAAAATATTAAAGTTTTTCTTTACTATTTTAAATATTTTTTGATCATTAATTATAATTAATTTATCCATAAATTACAAAATCATTTAAACCCGTATTTGCGCCCAAGTCACTTATCCCACTTTTGCTCCTAATTACCACTTTTACTATCAACCCCTCATTTCAAAGTATTACGTTTATGCCCTCACACATGCTACAAAATTAGCACGAGCGACAGCAAAATGTGTCTCATTGAGCAAGCACGGTGTGACTCGCACGTCATGTGCCTAAAGTGCAACAAAATCAGAACGAGTGACTGCTAAATGCGTCTTATTATGCACGCACCGCGTGACTCGCATGTCCTGAGCCCGAAGTGCGACGCATGATTGTTATCTGGGTGGTGACATGCAACTTTTTATGGCAGCCACCACAATTTTTTTTAGTCAAAATTATCACTTAATTAAACTAAGACAATCAATTTCAATGTCCAAAGTAGTAGGAAAAAAATAAGCTACCTTTTAAAACTTAAATTTTACACTACTTTTACACTTCCGAATCACTTTACTCATTGTAAGAGCGACTTCTTTTTTGGTTTGTGTTCTTAAAAATGCGTTACATCTAACGATAACGTATATGATTATCACGGAACTATATTTTTTACGGTTTCTAGGTGCGGTGCTGCTATTCGCACTATTTATTTCACTCTTCCGCTGTCAGATAACTTAAAAGCTCAGACTAACTGCAATTTACTGTTCATAATAGTCTAGAGCCTTCATTTTTAACCGATTTTACTGAACTTTGTTTTAAGTGAAAGATTATTAAAATTGAAAGAGATTTGTCGAGGCCGAATTTTAAATTTCAATTTGTTTATATTTATTTTTTTATTGTAAAGTTTAACAAAAGCATCTATTTTTAAGAAAAAGTTATCTCCAGCCTCTATAATCGAATAGCACGTGCTAAAAACTTTTTAAAAACACACCTAGAGTACTCTGTAAATTGTAAAAAATTTATGCAGGTAAATATTCGAATGCTATAAACAATTTATATTAACAAATAATTAAGTTTACAAAAAATTGTTAATGTGGACAAACGCTTTGATAGATTTTGATGAAATTGTATACTTATAGGTTTTTGGGGTCGCTGATTACGAATCCAAGGTTAGTTTTTCAAAATTCAAAATGGCGGATCCAATATGGCGGATGCTTTTTTTGAAAATCGATTCAATTTGGCTAAAAATCGTTACTCGGGGTTTTTGGGGTCCCTGATTACGAATCTTTAATTAGTTTTTCAAATTTTTAATAAACGATATAATGTGTAAGGCGCTTTTCTGAAAAATTGATTAGATGTACTTGAAACTTATTACTCGGAGAGGCTTCTTTGGGTTTTTTAAGTATCAAAATCTTTTACATTATTAATTAACAAATGTAATAAGCTCTTATAATGAAAAACGAATCGTTCTCACTTATAGGTGAAAAAGCTTAAAGCCATCTAGAGGCAAAGATGAAAAGCTCATACTTTCACCGCGAAATTTAGGTCACTAATAAGACTAACAATCTGTGCTAAAAATCCTTACACTATGCAGAATTATTTTAAAAAATTGAAAAATACAATGATGTTAAAAAATTGTTTAAAGCAATAATATTTTTTGAATTTGCTAAAAAATTTATTATATATTGATGGATTTAAGAAGGTTCTCCGGCTGCTACTTTTGAAAAATTGATTTTCTTCCAATTTTATTTAAATTTTGAGGAAATGTTTCTTCGAGTGCGCTCTAAATGAGGTAGAAATTTCAGAACCCTTTGCCATGTTAAAAAACG